CAATGACATACCACAGCGTCTTGTCTCATCAACAGATTCCCACAGAAATACCAAAGTGTAAACTTGAGACCTTTGATTCCTAAACACAACGCCACAGACCCCATACCAGAAGGGCGCTTTCGGTTGTCAGATATTCAACAGCCTTACACGTTCCACCCATGATTGTGAATTAGGAAAGCAAAACAAAAACCGCAGGCTGAATCTTAATGGATCGTCGGAAAAGCTTACTCTCGCACTTACAAGACTTGGTTGTGCCAAAGTCGTCTGCAATCTCTGAACCGCCCCTATGCCGAAAATTGCAATTGCATATGCATTCGTCGATAGTAAAACGAAATTTGTGGCTCCCCCTTGAACTTTCACAGTCAGGAGTCACGTCGCATGCACGGTGAGCCATCCTAGTGCTGCACATGGCTGCTGGGACTATCGTAGAGGGAGGAACTCGATGTTAACTTCCATGGCTATTCTTCTCGACATTCTGAAGCAAGATGTCTCAGTGTTGGGGCTTGTTCGTGGAGTACACCGAGCTGCACGTTTCCGCTTAGTTACTTGGAGTCCTGCTGAGCTCTTCACATGACTAAAATGCATGATTGCTCAGCGCATAAAGATAAAGCCTGAATAGTATACATTGAGTTGAAATCTTAGAGTACCTGAACTACCTACGTAATGCGTGACTTCTGAATATTCGTGAGCTTCTGCAGCAAAACTTCGAGATTATCTTGCTTTTAGGAAAGCTACCTAGGCAAATTGCTATCCGCGCGTCACATTGCAATCGCTAAAGTCCGATGAAAATTGTTATGCACTTGTCATGGCAGGTCGTCCTAGTTAGCAAAACCGACATCTGTATGCAATCCGTTTGCGGTTTGTTGGTTGTAGCGCAAGCTGACCTAATTCAGGTTCCAAATTCAAAAACCCTTGAATGTATACATTTAAAAATGTTTACTATGCACTGCTTTTAGAAGCAGCGCGCAAGGGCCACGCTCCCATCACAGGTCTCACAAATTTCACGTCGTGATGCAGTGAGAGCCCCCTAACAACAAAATCAACCTTCTCGCTTTTGTGAAGGCTCCATCTTAAGTAGACAAATATATGCAATACCTTGCCAACTTTATGGTTGCAACCGAAGCCGAACCACAAACATACACACGAGCTTGCAACCTCAGAGAACTCGGAAACAAAACATAAAAGCTTCGGGAAACTGAAAGCCCATGGAATATGAAGGCTCAAGCTACAATCCACGTGCCATCGTCCACATACAGTAAGCTCTAGACCTAAGTCGCCGCTCAGCGAGGCTCTTGCCGCAACAAACGCTGACCAACGAATCACGAAGATCTGACCGCCCTTCGCCAGCACGCCGCAGGGAGCTGTACCTCTCGGGCAAACGTGAAAAGTTCCGCACTTGAGTGCTTCTGCTTCGGAAACCCTTTCCTCTTAACATCGCATGGTTTTTATAAGACACCGTGGAGCTGCCCTCCCCTGCTTGATGCAACCGTGCACATATGACGTGGTGCTGAACAGCCTCGTTTCTTCGTCTCTTTCATCGTCTCTGCAGGACTGAATTATAGTCAACGAGAAGCCGCCTCAGGCATCGACAAGGGACAGGGACAGCTCAGCACAAGGCTTCTTCAGCGTCCGCCCTGCTTGAACGCATCTACCTGCTAATCCGCTTCAAACACGCCCGATTCGTTGTTGTGGTGTTTTCTGTCTACACCAGAAGGAACATAGAGCTAGACAACGTGGCTTCCTTGCAAAGAAGCGCAGGCGACAACTGCTGTGGCTTGAGGACATCCCAATAAGCTCTGACTCAATTGGGCAACTTAAGCAACAAAAGCCCTCAACGCGTTCGTGGAATGACCACTTCACTTATCGCTGCATGCGCTAGCCTTCGATATCCACATGGGGCTTCGATGGGATTGCAGGACCAACAGAACAGGCAGCAGATGGCTGCATATAGACGCTGCGGGTTGGGCCGTCAAGTGAGGTGGTCTCTCCCGTTGCACCGCCACACCTACGTATCCCGACGGCTAGGGAGACCCTGTAC